CAAGATAGAGAGAGTTTTGAAGGGTGGATTTATTATTATTTTTTTCTATTTTTTTTAAAAGTTACTTTTGTGGGGCAAATTTGTAAGTATTACTACAAGACAGGGCATTTTTTGTCATCTCTACAAGGGATAAAATTGAAATTTTAACTAAAAGACAATGGCATTCTACAAATAAAGTTTCAGAACACTAACTTCCAAAATGCCATTCCACTTTTGTGAAAATTTCAAATTTGTACTTGTTTAATAATAAATTTACCTATTTAAATAATTTTTTAATGAAAAAATAATACTTATTTTAATAAATACACTCATGACAACCCCTTCTATTTATTATACTTTGTATTTTGAAGGGTTGTTAACTATATCAATTTCAGTAGGGAAGATTAAATATTCTTTATCATCATTATCAAAGCGTTCTCTCAATAATTGGGGTTAGCTACACGGATCCTCATCCACTTTGCTATCAAGGGCTATATCCTCAATGAGGTATGGGGAATGCCCTAGCTAGGGGTAGCAATGGACCTGGATCTGACCTAGGTCTAGGTCCATGTAGACCCAACCTGGACCCGACCCAAATAGTGCTAATATTTAATTTATATTATTTTAATCATATTTAAAAATTAATAATTTTAAATAAATATAAGTACGTATTTTTAGTTATAATATTTAAATAAAGAAAAAAATTATTTAAGGTTGCAACCTTAAAATGTAGAACTAACGATGCATCAAAAAAATCCATCGAAAAATATTGTTTTAATGTTGAAAACCCCTCTAATTCATCATCTTGACATCGAGATGTATGAAACTAAAAAAAAAAGATTGTGTTCTAGAAATAGTACATCTTGCAACACATTATCTAGACCGTCAATTTCCAAGGTTTTCATATATTTATAGATCTACTTGATTTTAACCATTTTTACAATTTAAAATTTTACAATTAGATATAAAAATAGATTTTCAAATAATCCTAAAATTATTTTAGACCGAAATTACATGTTATGATAAAATTTGGAGGTGCTCCTTAATTGGATTGTTTAAGGTTGCAACCTTATAGAAACCTTTAAATAATACTTGTATATATTTAACTAATATTTAAATATATTTAAATTTATACATTTTTTATCTTTGGGTCAGGTCCAGTCTGATTCAAGTCCAGGTCCAAGTCCAGTCAGGTCTGATCGGGTCGAGGTCTTGGTCCGGGTCCCATAAAAAAACTTCCAGTCCAAAACCGACCCAACCCGATGCCACCCCTAGCCCTAGCATAAGCAGATAATAGAGATTGATGATTCTTGGGTAAGGGGATTCTAGGGTTCCAAAAAATACCTTAATCCTACTTAAACCTGGCTGGGGACCATAATTGGCTAGATAGTTAATCTCAACTATCCATACTCAAAAATGGAAGGTGATCAATATTGAGAATCTCGGCTGAGTTACTCACAGTCGGCCCCTTTCTTAGCCAGAGTACTCTAGTGTAAAACTTGGATTAATCAAAATAATATAAAAAACATATAAATGATAAAATCAATATACAAATATCTTTTATATAATTTGATTGTTTGGTCAATGATTTGATAGATTTCTTATCATGTACTTTATTTTTATATTTTTTTCCCTTTTTTAAATTTTTCTAAAATTACTGACTATAGATACTTTTTTCTAAACCTATGTTTGTAGATTTTTATCAGCTTATTTCCACTTTTTATGTTGTTTTTGGTGTGGTTTATTTTTTTTTTTTTTTTTTGCTTTTAGGCCTTGTACACTATTTACATTCACCAATTATGGATGTAATACTTCCCAACAGAATTTTTAGAATTAAAAGAGAAAAAGTTTCTAAACCAGCTTGTTTGGCTTTACGACACAATAAAAGTTTGAACTCTTTGAGTCTTGACTTCCTTCATCAAATCGATATGTCTACTGCTAAGCTGAAGGCTATGGAACAATACTTCCCTCCCTAAGATGATAACTCCTTGGAAATTAATGTTTCTCAGTACCATTGCTTATGACTAAAGTGGCTTGTAGGTTCCTCAGGGACTGTATGAAGAGGGAGGTGAGGCCCTTAACAAGGGGAATGTATACATAAGTGAAACTAGCCCACCTGGTGTGAGAAAAGCATATCTCCAACAATTTCAAAAGGATTTCTCACAGTTTCTTAAATGGCGCTCACACGAGGTGGCACCAAATGGGCGTATGGTGTTAACATATATTGGCCAAAGGGCTTCAGAAAACTTTGAGAAGGATTGTGAATACGTGTGGTTGGCGTTTGTTCGAGCCATAAAGAACTTAATTTCTCAGGTACTTACTTTACCTCTAGCTGTATCACTGATGCTTTAAGGTCTTCATTTGCACTTACTCCCTCGGGCAAAAGATCTAGTTAGGAGGATTTTGTCATACGAAATTTTGTGATCTACTTTAGAATGCTCAGATGAGTATTTCAAAAATAGAAATTTGGATTTTGAGTTCCTAGACACTTTTGATCCAATTGTCAAAACGATGTATAGTCTATTTTCAATCTCAAGACAGACTTTCCGTGCACATAGTAATATTTTCCTTCAACAATGTTCGCTACATTCATGAGTTCACGTCCTCAATATTGAGGCCAAGTTCCTATGAGATGGGGTTTTGCCGGAGGAAATGAATCTATGATATTTTCTGACAAAAGCGTAAAATTTTCTTACTGATAATAAATTCATGCAATTTTTTGAACTAATGTAATGCAGGGACTTGTGGAAGAGGAGAAACTTGATTCATTTGATTTACCCATATATACGCCCATAAAGGAGGAAGTTGAAGAAGTGGTAACGAGAGAAGCGTCTTTCACGATTGAGCGTTTCGAGGAACTGTCGGTTCCTACTCCCACGAAGATTAGTGGGAAAGACAAGGCACTTGGCATTAGAGCAGTGTTTGAGCCCATCACTAAGCATCATTTTGGAGAGGAACTCATGGACAAGCTCTTTGAAGAATGTGCTCAGCTAATTGAGACAGAACTGCTAAATGAGATGACAAAAGCCAAAGCAGTGCAGGGGCCAATTACTTATGTTTTGGTCTTGAAGAGATCAATGTAAGCAATGTGCTCACCCATAACTTCTTGGAGGAAATCTTGAACTTAAGCTTATACCAGAGTTATGTTTCTGGTGCTGTTGTTGGAATATTGATAAATAACCAAATAAAATTTAAACCTCATGCTACCCAATGAGACTACTTTTTCCTATCCAATTCTACCTTGTCTAACTCACATACGACTATTTTTATCACAATTTTGAGCTCCTCTTTGTTTGTATTGATGTAATTGAGAATGCTCTTTATATATAGGGTGTGGTTTACATAAGGTTGCAACCTTAAACAATCAAACTACGACACATCTTGAAATTTTATATAAGATATAATTTTGGTGTGAAAAATTCTTAGGATGGCCTAAGATTCCATTTTTATAGCTAACTATAAAATTTTAAACTCAAAATATTGGTGACAATTGAGTAGATCCATAAACATATGAAAATCTTAAAAATGGACAATCCAAATAATTTATTGCAAGATGTACTATTTATGATTCAAAATCTTTTTTTTTATGTTCATACATCTCGATATTGAGATGATCAATTGGATGGTTTTTCACTACCCAAACAACTATTTTTGATGATTTTTGAGGTGCACCTTACTTCTAGACTTTAAAGTTGCAACCTTATATAAACTGTTGTTGACGATTTAAATAGAAGAATATCGAACCCTTAGACTTATGTCAATCCCCCCTTTCTTTATTCTTTATGATGAAGGATGAGCTAAGATTAGAACCTTGGGCATTTTTTGTTGGCCGAACCTCAGTCTCAATGACCCAAACCTCTTCATATTTGACCCTTCTTGACATGCAAATCCATTATGCCAAGCAGGCATAACAAAAGGTTTCTTGATTTCGACATTAATTTCCATTCTGTTAGGCAAGAACAAGAAGTAAGGATTTCGATGAGGTCAAAACTTTCCCT